TATCAAGTAACCGATCAACTTCTTCAACAACGGCAGAAGTATGTTCCGCGAATGACAGTCAGCTTTTCTGAATAATTGGCTTACATTTGGGATCAACGTTTAAGCGATGCTGGGACACAGATGGATCTACCCCCGGCATCTCATATGGTGACCATGCAAATACATCAAGGTTGCCGAGTAAGAAGGATATTAGCTCTTGTCTGTCGACTTTATTCAAGGAAGCGCCGACCACGAAGAACTTGTCAAGATTACCGTCAATTTCAACTCGATCCCGAGCTCCGGTTGCCTTTTCACTTGGGAGCCACCCAACGTCGTCGAGGCTCTCCCGATCCGGTACCTCAATTGAATTCACTTCCAGCTCTCTTGGTGTCTTTGCAGCAAGAAGATAACATGCTTGCGCCGATTTTTGGGAACTTCGAATTTGCTCTATGCCGCGTTCAGTCGGAAAGCGAAGTAGTTGATGATAAGTGTTTAGCACAACTTGCATGGTATGCAACCAAGTTCGTCCCATGATGAGATTATACGGCGAATGAAGCTTGATAACCAAAAATTCTACATCCACTGATCAGGAGCCCACCCGAACTAGTAGTGCGATTTTGCCCAAAGGATATTCCGGATTAGCGTTGAAGCCGAATAACGGGTAATCAGCGGGAGACAGATCTGACTGAGTGAAGTCGAGTTTAATGACAGTCTTGTAGTACATTACTTCCGAAGTACTTCCCTGGTCAATGAGAACATGTTCAACGGTGAATCGGTTTATGCGTAATTCAATGACTAAGGGATCAGTGTGGGGGAGCATTATGCCGACCAAATCAGAATCATCGAAACTAATACTCGCTGCTTCATGGGGCTGTTTCGCTGGTGTGATTTGCTTTTGGGGGTTAGATTGCAGCTGAATTGTATGTACCGTGGGTGCCATCGGCAAGCTGTATATCATATGAATTACGCCGAGTGGAGGTGAATCCTGCTGTAAAGCTACTGTTTTTGTTGAATTGTTCTTTTGGATGTGTTACATAAGCCGACCGTCTTGTACCAACTCCTCAAGGTGGTCCTTCAACACATAACAACTGTTGGTATCATGACTGTGGTCTTTGTGATATTCATACCGCCTATCTCGTCTCCTCGTGTCGGGAGGTCCCAGCATCTTTGGTGGCCATTTAAAGAACGGAAGGTGTTGAACTTTAGACATAACCATACTGATCGGCTCTGATAACTCCGTATATTTCTTGTCCGCGCGCCTTATGCGCCTGCTATCCACTTGAAGTTGTTCATTAGCTCGATGTGAACATTGGTCATTTGATCGGCGCGAATCTCGTCTTTTGTCTCGTTTAGCCCGATTTCGTGGTTCAGGGCTCCGTGGTGGTACAGAGTTTATTGGCTAAACGATTTCAAGTGGGGCCGTCTTGTTAGGCTTGTGCCCGGCTTTGACCCGTAAGGCATCATCTTCCACTTTGTAATATTTCTCGAGTTTCTTCATTAATGACCAGACTGTTTTGGGGGGCCGTCTGGTCAAGGAACTGCGGAGGGCATTATTAAGATGCAATCCCATCTTAAAGGCGGTGATGGCCATTGAGTCATTACAGGCATCATCTACTAGATTAAAGTATTCCCAATAGCGCGCCGAATATGCACGAAGGGTTTCTCCTGGTTGAATTTGCATTGCCCAGAGAGAATCAGCTTGCTTCGGCTGGACCTCATTGGTGATGAACCTTGCCCTGAAGGATTTTCAGAGTTGGTGGAAGCTCTTAATCAATGCTGGTTCCAATTTATAATACCATCTGACAGCCAGTGGTCCCAAACTGCTCGAAAATATTCGACACATGAGGGCCTTGTCGTCTGTATGAAGCGTCATGGCTTGTTTATAATGACGAATGTGATCGGTGGGGTCCAATTTTCCATCATATAGGGTGAATGATGGAGCTTTAAACTTTTTGGGTAGCATTGCCCTTGCGATCTGTCGCACAAAGGGGTCATGTTGATCCTCTTTGTCTGAATCATTTCTTCGTTTATTCTGCGTACGCGGATTTCCTTCGGAAGAACTGGGGACTTCGACTCATCCCCACTTTTTGGATTCTGGGGATAATGAGTCAGAATCACTGCCACTATCATGTCTCTGAATTCAAGGTCTTTAACTATCTTTTCCCAAAGATCGTCCCCGATCTTGGCACGCGGCTTGTTGGGATTTTGCCATCTCCAGGGCCAAATCCTGTCGAAAGCGCTCGTTCTCAGCCATCATGTTTTCCAACCTCTATTCATTTTGCTTCGCATGATCCATAATTGCTTGCATTGTCTCATGTACTGATGTCGAGGGTGAGGTCTGGGCAACTGAGTCAAAGTTTAAGGCCCTTCATACGGCAATGTTCTCTAGCCCAAGCATGTTTCTTGGAGTGGTATCATCTTGTGGCGTAAGGTTATCAGCAACTACCGGAGGATCTTCTGTCACGCCCACTATGGATGTGCTTGAGTATTCCCACAAACAGCGCCAATTGTGAAGATGGGGTTTGGAAATACTTTAGGGATCCTATAGGACGCTCTTGATCCTCAGTTAGTCACCTGAAAAGGAATGAACACTCCGGTCGGGGGTGCCGGAATTAGCACTCCGACGGATAAGTGTATACTCTCTTGGATGCTTGTATCTCAAGTTAATCTTATTTGTTCTCACATACCTTTTCTTAGCTGATGCTCCACTTAATTATAGTCGTCCTTGATATTGATGGTTGGGCCTACTTTTCGACCAACAAATAATTGCTTACTCGGCTATTCTGTCCTACCTATTCGTACTCGGCCCAGTTTATAGCTGATTCTACGGCCGATCTGGTTATTCGTCCTTTGTGTCCCTCTAGGATAGAGCCGTATAGAACATAACTTGATTTCTTTGTTTAAACTAAATCGGCTTCCCTACGTAATTATATTATTCGGCTCCCACACTAAACATAACTGGTGTCATTTGTTTATACTGTAAAACTAACACAAGATCCTATAAATTGGATCCCTTTCTCATTTCCCACCTTATCAAAACTTCCCTCATCATCAATTTTCCCGAACAGAAATGAAAAGTTCATCATTACATCAAATTTCTCTAGCAGCCCTTTTTACTCTCCTCCATTGCACAACCATCATGAACTCATGCTTGGCCAACAACACAAACAACAATACTGAGTACATCACAAAGTCATGTGCCACCATGTTATACCCTCAATTGTGCTACAAGTCCCTATCAAAATATGCAAACAAAATCCAATCAAGCCCCAAAATCCTGGCCATCACCGCCCTCTCCGTGTCTCTCTTTGCTGCACAATCCACCTCAAAATTGATGTCAAACCTGTCAAAAACTCCGAATTTGCGCTCCGGTGAGGCAGCCACCCTGGCCGATTGCGTCGAAGTAATGGGTGACTCAGTGGACGAGCTACAAAGATCTGTGGACGAGTTAACTCGTAGTAGAGGCGACTTTGATTTTGAATTTAAAATGAGTAATGCCAAGACTTGGGTGAGTGTGGCGTTGACTAATGATGACACGTGTATGGATGGGTTTGGTGGGATGGCAATGAATGGGCAAGTGAAGAGTATAGTGAGGAGGTTTGTTAAGAAATTGGCACATTTGACTAGCAATTGGTTAGCTTTGGTTAACAATTATGCTAGCTCTCAAGACCACCACACTTTGAAAGGTGATGCCCATCTCTGGGGCTAAATTTTGATTTGTCTCTGCTATTAGAAGTGTTTTTTCTATTTCTGTTTTTTATTTTTTATTTTTATTTTTATTTTTATGGTGTGAAATTTGGGAAGTGGGAAAGAATTGTCATTTTTGATCAGATGGTCTGGATGAAACAATAATCTACTGGTTTCATCTCTCTTCATGTATCCTAATAAAAGAAATTTATGATATAAATTTAAGTTTGATATGAAGTGAATTACATTCAAAATGAATGTAATCCAGACATTTTATTTTCTACAATTATTCGAGTAAACTTTTTTGAAGTCGGCAACAATATATATATATATATATATATTTTTGAAACAGCCAAACACTATAACAAAATGCACCTTTGGCGACCAAAATTGGTGACTAAAAAAAATTTAGTCGCCAAAAGTTGTGGAATTGGCGACTAAAATTTTTTTTAGTCGGCAAAAGTATAATATTTAGCTACTAATTTTTTTTAGTCAGGATATATTGATTATTGGTGACTAAAAAAAAATTTCGTCGCTAAAAATACTTGCATTGGCGACAAAAAAAATATTTTAGTCACCGTATATTGAGTTTTGGCTATTAAAACCATTTAGTCACCGAATAGAAAATAAAAAATTATTTTTTATCTTTGGCGACCAAACGTTTGGTCGCCAAAAACATATGTTCAGCGACAAAAAAATATTTTAGTTGCCATATATTAAGTTTTTGTGACTAAACAATTAGTCGCCGAATGAAAAGTAATTTTTTTTTTTTTTAAATCTTTGGTAACCTATCCTCAGCGACTAAAGTTTAGTCGACAAATGTGTTCAAAATTTTAGTGGGAAATATTTCATATTGGCGCCTAAATTTTTGCCCAAATCTATTAGTCTCACATGGTTCTTTCTCTCTCTTGCTCTCCCCCCCCCCTTTCTCTCTCATACAGAATCAATCACCACTGCCCCTCATCTCAGCATCGCACACGACCACACTGTCCGTCAATCTCCAACCGTCGAACATCACCACCGTAGCTCACCATTGCCTTGCCTCCCATCAACATTCAGGTTATTCTCTGTCCTTTTTCGATTAAAGTTTTTGACTAATTTTGATACATGTAGATATATATATCGCAATCTTCGTTCAATTTTCTGTAGATTTCTTCGACATTGTGCTTGCTTTCTTTACCGATTAAAGTTTTTGACTGATTTTGACTCATATAGTGATGTATCTGGAGGCAATAGTCAGATGAAATACAGCCTTTTGCACTTCGATTTTGGGATATATTTTGAAGTTCTGTTAAATGCCAGCCCGACTCTGCCTTGTCTATTTTCTTGGCCCTAATATGCTTTGCCCTTACCTATTTTCGAAGCACATTTTTAGAAAATTGACTTGCTTTTATTTTATTATTTTCATTTTCGTTTATCTATTTATTCTTTTGACTTCAGAAATCCCAAAAAACAAAGCTATGTTGTTTCTAATGACAGCTTTTGCTGTTCTTCCAACGATCTCATTCAAGTAAGTAGTTGTTCATATTCTTTTTGCCAAAAATTTACATGTTCATCTTCTTAACTGTTCCTGTGTGATGATCAGATTGACCTTGTTTTACATGGTGTTTTGTTCTTGTGCAGTGTGTACAATGTTTATAAGGGTGTTCAAGCAAGGAAAGGAAGCATGCTAGTAGGCTTTGGCAATGGTAAACCTGTTACTACTGAATGCTTTATCTGTTTTTTATTTTTATTTATTTTTCAAGTTGCTCAATGGATGTCATCACTGTTTCTTGTCAACTTTACCCATTTTCTGTGCTCTTGGTGAGAGTTGTGGTGTGGTATGTAACTATCTTGGCTGTTTGTTTTTCACATTCCTAGCTTGAGGATCTTATTTGACCATATTTCTTTCATTCTGCTTCTTATGTCTTGTGTAGGGATTAGTTGTCTCCATATGATATAACTGGGAACTATCCACATTTGGTTATAGTGGGAACTGGACTCACATTTGGGTTTCTTTTGGTGAGATATCTGTCTTAATCCAATCCTTAAAGCTTGATATCTTTTGTCAATTTTAAACATTTTGATCTCTATTGCTCTATATCTAATTCATGGAAATTATAGTTGATTCACACAAGGGAAGGTTACATGAGTAGTCAATCAACATTTTTATTCACACAAAAGTGGATTTCTTTTGATTCTAACCTCTATTTTTATACTTGGCATCCTGAGCTTTTTGCTATTCATACGAAATCTTAGATGTTTGTTTAAAGGTGAAGGAAATGATGTACAATAAAATTAAATTGAACAAATACAATTGGGTTGGTTTTATTATTTGGGACACTTTTTGCAGAAAGTAAACCCAAGAATTTGTAACTGAAGTGCATTGCACCACAATATTTGGGACACTTTTTGCATCTGATAATAATGTTTTCTAGTGTGCCTCTGTCTACTTATTTTTCATTGTCTTCCTGCTGCTTTGGACATCCAAATGGATGAAGTTTAAATTTCTGTACAAAAGATACTACATATAAGCATTTAAAAAAACCAAAGAAAAAAAAATACTTCAATGATTCTAAAACTTTTGCTAGCAATTATATTTTCTTCTAACCTTGTCCTGCTGTTTGTTTATTGTGTTTGATTTGTTATGTTTCATGTTTTCCCAGTGTGCCCTTGTGCAGATTTATATAAATTCGACTATGCAAAACTAATGATTTATTTGAAAATATTAATTATATTCGAGTTTTATATGTTTTTTTTATTTATAATTTTAAATATGCCAATATTTAGTTAATACTAATGATTAATTTTATTTTCACAGATGATTTTTGACGTAGATGGTTTGGAGGACTAAATGTATATGCAAGAGCTGTGATCCATGTACCATATCCTACACTTGCAGCGGATTTTACTTTACTTATTGGTGATTGGTACAAGACCAACCATAAGGTGAGGAAATCTATATTTTAATGTATATATCTGAAATTTTTTGAAAATAATGGCATTGGCAGTGTGCATTTGTTAAATAATTAGGAATACATTATTTTAGATAATGTTTGTGTTCTAAAACCAATTCAACAATTTTTTTTAAAGATAATGAAAATATTATCCCAGAAGTCTGTCTCCTTTTCTAATACTAGTGAGTCAATTTTACTTTGAAACGTGACTAGAAGAACGGTGCTTGCTTATCGGGGCCAATTTTCATGTATTTTAGGAGAGTAAGAATCTCAGATACCAAATATCAACTTTTAATTTTTCTATTTTTTTTATTTTTCTTTTATTTTACTTTTTTGTTCTTTTATTTTTGTATGTGTAAGTATAACTCTGTAGGAACCATCCCAATGATGAACTTTTCTAGTTCCTGTTTTATTCACATATGCATCTTTCTTGATATTTGGATTGTTTTTATACAAGCTAATGGTGCATGTTTTGGTAAATTTGTCTGATAGATGCTAGATCGTTTGCATAAGCTTCTGATTATAAAAAAGTTTTAAACTGTTTCATTTTAAATTGCTAAAATCAATTAAATGGTAGGCCTATTTTACATATATAGTATGTATTTTTATTACTAAGACACTGCGTAAGGATATCATAGTGTTATTGCTGGGGCCTCTGTTTATTGAAAATTGAGTCAATATGACCCTATTCCAATTACTAAAAGAAATTGCATATTTTTTCAAATGAAATTCTATAATTCTGGGTTTGTCTTACACTTAAAAGCTATCAAGTTGCTTTATTCTTTGCGCGCGCACACACACACACACACATATATATATCTCCTTGATATATACAACCCATTATGCCTATGGGCAGGTACGAAGGACAACGTGATATGCTTTACAATCAGACATTCAATCTAGACCAAGTTGCATTTTCTGCTGAGGGAATTAAGGATGCTCAGCAAACAGTATGTTCCACATAGCTCCTTGATGTGTTTTTATTTTATTTTTTTAGATAATTACTATTGGGGTCTCTTTGAACTCATCTATGATGTTTTGGGCTTTTTCAATCAAGAAATATTGGGCAATGGGCTATAAGGATAGATGCGCAGTTAGTGGAACATTCTACATTATAGTTCTTAAAATGATACACATGGGCAGGCTTATATATAAATAAGCTAAAATTTACATGCACATCAGTGTTACTTGATTTAATGCAATTTAAATTCAGGCTTGTGAGTATTGAAAACCCAGGGCTTAGTGTCCCATGAAACTTACCCATAACACGTTACATAACTTTTACAAATGAAATGTTTAATATATGTGTCCTTTTGACACCCAAATTAGCCTGATCTAATTGATCTTAATCACCTATCTTTTTAAGAAAAGTGCTAAAATGTCAGGTAATGTATATGTACACTGTAGAGCATGCTCTTTTTTTCTTTTCTTTTTTAAATCTTCATGGGGCTTCCTCACCTATTTGATTTTTGAAGCTGTTGAAAAATTGGAATTATCTTTTTCATGTTGTGATCGAAATATGATATGATTGTTTGTTAGTAGCACTAATAGAAGATGGAACTTAGATATGAATACAACATTATATAATTTGGCTAGTTGGTGAATAAATGTTTCCATGAAACTGAATTCACCAAACTAGTATCAAACCAAGGAAGTGGTTTAGCAATTATATTTTCTTCTAACCTTGTCCTGCTATTTGTTTATTGTGTTTGATTTGTTACGTTTCATGTTTTCCCAGTGTGCCCTTGTGCAGATTTATATAAATTCGAGTATGCAAAACTAATGATTTATTTGAAAATATTAATTACATTCGAGTTTTATATGTTTTTTTTATTTATAATTTTAAATATGCCAATATTTAGTTAATACTAATGATTAATTTTATTTTTACAGATGGTTTTTGACGTAGATGGTTTGGAGGACTAAATGTATATGCAAGAGCTGTGATCCATGTACCATATCCTACACTTGCAGCGGATTTTACTTTACTTATTGGTGATTGGTACAAGACCAACCATAAGGTGAGGAAATCTATATTTTAATGTATATATAGGAAATTTTTTGAAAATAATGGCATTGGCAGTGTGCATTTGTTAAATAATTAGGAATACATTATTTTAGATAATGTTTGTGTTCTAAAGCCAATTCAACAATTTTTTTTAAAGATAATGAAAATATTATCGCAGAAGTCTGTCTCCTTTTCTAATACTAGTGAGTCAATTTTACTTTGAAACGTGACTAGAAGAACGGTGCTTGCTTATCGGGGCCAATTTTCATGTATTTTAGGAGAGTAAGAATCTCAGATACCAAATATCAACTTTTAATTTTTCTATTTTTTTTTTCTTTTATTTTACTTTTTTGTTCTTTTATTTTTGTATGTGTAAGTATAACTCTATAGGAACCATCCCAATGATGAACTTTTCTAGTTCCTGTTTTATTCACATATGCATCTTTCTTGATATTCGGATTGTTTTTATACAAGCTAATGGTGCATGTTTTGGTAAATTTGTCTGATAGATGCTAAATCGTTCGCATAAGCTTCTGATTATAAAAAAGTTTTAAACTGTTTCATTTTAAATTGCTAAAATCAATTAAATGGTAGGCCTATTTTACATATATAGTATGTATTTTTATTACTAAGACACTGCGTAAGGATAGCATAGTGTTATTGCTGGGGCCTCTGTTTATTGAAAATTGAGTCAATATGACCCTATTCCAATTATTGAATGAAATTCTATAATTCTGGGTTTGTCTTACACTTAAAAGCTATCAAGTTGTTTTATTCTTTGCGCCCGCACACACACACACACACACATATATATATCTCCTTGATATATACAGCCCATTATGCCTATGGGCAGGTACGACGGACAACGTGATATGCTTTACAATCAGACATTCAATCTAGACCACGTTGCATTTTCTGCTGAGGGAATTAAGGATGCTCAGCAAACAGTACGTTCCACATAGCTCCTTGATGTGTTTTTATTTTATTTTTTTAGATAATTACTATTGGGGTCTTTTTGAACTCATCAATGATGTTTTGGGCTTTTCAATCAAGAAATATTGGGCAATGGGCTATAAGGATAGATGTGCAGTTAGTGGAACATTCTACATTATAGTTCTTAAAATGATACACATGGGCAGGCTTATCTATAAATAAGCTAAAATTTACATGCACATCAGTGTTACCTGATTTAATGCAATTTAAATTCAGGCTTGTGAGTATTGAAAACCCAGGGCTTAGTGTCCCATGAAACTTACCCATAACACATTACATAGCTTTTACAAATGAAATGTTTAATATATGTGTCCTTTTGACACCCAAATTAGCCTAATCTAATTGATCTTAATCACCTATCTTTTTAAGAAAAGTGCTAAAATGTCAGGTAGTGTATATGTACACTGTAGAGCATGCTCTTTTTTTCTTTTCTTTTTTAAATCTTCATGGGGTTTCCTCACCTATTTGATTTTTGAAGCTGTTGAAAAATTGGAATTATCTTTTTCATGTTATGATCGAAATATGATATGATTGTTTGTTAGTAGCACTAATAGAAGATGGAACTTAGATATGAATTCAACATTATATAATTTGGCTAGTTGGTGAATAAATGTTTCCATGAAACTGAATTCACCAAACTTGAAATCAAACCAAGGAAGTGGTTTGGTTTGGTTTATTTGATGAAAAAAAAGAGTAAGGATTGGAGTGGTCCATACCAGATCAAGTTTTTAACCAATTTTTCACTCAAATTTAATGAATAAAAAAGAGAGTAAGGATTGGATTTCTACCCACATAAAGAAACCTAATAATGCGTGTTAATTGTTTTTGAAGGTGTGAAGGAGGTTGAGGCAAGATGGATTGGGTGGGCTGGTGTTAATGTGCCAATTGAGGCTGGACAGAGGGCACTTACTAAAGCTTTGGCTGAAAAGGTTCTGAGTTTCAGCTACAATCTTTTCACCCTTGTTTAGTCTTGGGACATTGATAGTTGATATTTTATTTTGAATCATGGATAATTCTTGTGAGCATCATTAAATTCCTGTTTTTGTTTATTTATTTATTCACTGCAGAGATGTATTCATGTATTCCTTGATGAAGAAATTGTTCACCAATGTTATAATGGCTATTTCAACAACATATTATGGCCTCTTTTTCATTATCTTGGACTTCTGCGAGAAGATCGTCTCGCCACTACCAGAAGTTTTCAGTCTCAGTTTGTTGCATATGTGAAAGCAAATGTAATGTTTGCTGCTGTGGTAAACCAGCATTACCAGGAGGGTCATGTTGTTTGGTGCCATGACTACCACCTCATGTTCCTTCCAAAATGCCTGAAGGAGCACAACAGTGATATGAAAGTTGGTTGGTTTCTCCACACACCCTTTCCTTCTTCAAAAATCCACAAGACACTGCCATCTCGATCAAAGCTGCTGCATGCTGTTCTTGCTGCTGACTTGGTTGGGTAAGTTGTAATATTTAATCCTGTGCCATGCCATTTTTGCCTCACTTAACAGGTCAATTCCTTTGTACTTGCAATATTGATACTGATCAATTGGCATGTCTTGCAAATTTTAAACTTGAAACCCATGTACTACTCAATCATATGATTACATTTCTTGTTTAAACTGTCAATCATATGGCATACTCCAGTTTTGTCAAGCCAGCCTTTGTGCCTCACTGCGAGGTTTCAAGTTGCCATGCTATGGCTTTGGGGTGTTTTGTTTGTTCCCCCCGTCTGTCTCCATACTGTTTGGATTACTGTATAGACTGTCAGTTGCTAACTGTACTGTTATCAAGGGATTAGGTCCCTGTACTGTGTGATTGTAAATTTTGTATAGACCGTACTGTTTTGTACAGACGGAATGCTTTCTGTACTGTTTATGTATGAATGCATGAAAAATCTTTTTGGCATACAGACTGTCACAGCTCATTGGACATTGTTTAATTACTGTATTGGCTTCCGCCAGGCCCTGTACTCTGTTTTACTGTATTACTGTTCTACAGGCCTTCGGTAATCTCGGATTACTGGCCGGTTACGGTGCTAAACCCATAGGGCCGGGTTTGGGTCGTGACATCCACACACCCTTTCCTTTTTCAAAAATCCACAAGACACTGTCATCTCGATCAAAGCTGCTGCATGCTGTTCTTGCTTCTGACTTGGTTGGGTAAGTTGTAATATTTAATCTCGTGCCATGCCATGTTTGCCTCACTTAACAGGTCAATTCCTTTAAACTTGCAATATTGATACTGATCAATTCGCATGTTTTCAAACTTTTAAACTTGAAACCTATGTACTACTCAATCATATGATCACATTTCTTGTTTAAACTGTCAATCACATTTCTTGTTTAAGTTGTTCTATTTTGTTACAACATATGGACTTTGTTATCAAATTCAGCTATAGATATAGTTAGTTCCTTGATAAGTTTCTGCAATGCACAAATGATGTAGAATTTGTGTGTAGTCATCTATTTGTATAGTTAAATTTGCATTGTATGTCTCTTAGGTATAATGACACATTAATTTCAATACTTTATCTGAGATTATTTTGATCGATTTCTGTTTTAAGAAATAAAACATTTTTTTTCCATCTATATTTATTCACCCACGATTCTGTTACAGAAGTTACTATATTTGCTACTTCTTTTGTGTTTGTGGTCAATAATTGCCTTGGCCTAGTTGTTTCTTGCCTGTATTTTTTAATAATGATAGGTAGCATGTCCAGTGAATGTGTAAAATATGTTGTCTATCATTGTTTGTTTTTGTCTTGATGATGGCCAAGATATTTTTAACTTTTATACTTGGCTTGAGTGTGATTGGATGTAGATATGGAGGCACATTATGATAGTGACATTAGTTCATTGAATGTGAGCATCATGTTTAATCCAAGTCCTTATCTCCAATAGGCTCTCCAAGAACCTATTACATTAGGATCAGACATTAGCACAGTTAACCCTTTGTTTTCTTTTCTTTTGTCCTCAATGCTCGTCAATAAGTTAATAATTTTATTAATGACTTCATAATGACTAACAAACATCAGCTTTATTGGCATGGTAACCTATTCTTGAGCTACCTCAGGATGCGTTTGGACAATTTAAGAAAAATATTAAAAAGAACAAGAAAATAAAAGAAAACAGAGAAGGCATTGTACTTGAGTTCTTATATTAAAATAAAGGAACTATTAATAATCTCGAGATTAAGAAGAACTCGAGTTATATAATGCAGGTGGGTATTATTAATAATAAGAAAAAGGGCGTTTCGGGGGCAAAATTTCTAAACAACCCCCGAACCACCGTGTGACTCACACGGATAGTTCCCCCATGACAAATAGGACTTGTAATAACTGACGGAATGTAGTCCGAACCCGTAGGTTAGGAGTTAGAGCCGAATACGCCCTAAACTTAGTCGAAAAAGGGCATTTCGAGGGAAAAAATTCAAAACAACCCCCTGTAGACCGCCCGAAACTCTCTCCGCGCGCCCCCATTTCAGAGAGGGCGCGAATTGGGTTCTAGCTACTACAGTTCGGACTCCTGTCACGGTTCTAAATCTAACCTCACAAAGTGCAATGTAAGACTGATAAATCACCAAAGAGTCCAGATCCGGCAAATCATTTTGGAAAATCGATTTTAATAAAAAAGCGCCAAACATGGACTACTTTGCCAGATTTCGGAGTCGCCACTTAAATATTTTATTTTGAAAAATTTAGAAAACCCTGACTCGTGCCTAAGGCCACGTGTCCGTCATCACCAAAGTTGTCTCGGCTCGGAAACTTGGGTACAAGGGGGGAAGGTCATGAAATAAGCACCCCCGTTCGCCCGATCAAAGGATCGGCCTTTACTAAACATTATATGTTATTTTTGAAAACACATGTGTTCTTGTTTGATTATTTGCTAACCTTACTATGTGATGCGCACAGCATACAAGTATAGACTCAATCACGCAGATTTGAACAAAACAACTCATGTTTATTTTTTAAAGTGGTTTGAAAGTGTTACTCGCAAGTAGGCTAAAGCGCAGATTTGCCATCCTCAAGTGGGCTTAGAAAAACATGATTTTGCCACTCCGCAAAGTGGGCTTAAAACTCACAATCATCGAGTTGTTCCAATTCAGGAAATCAAGCCTCCACCCACAGTCATTCATGCATTTAAACACTTAAGCAAATAGCCTCATGGCAAGCATACTAAACATGACAACACTCACACTCATGCAAGTATGCTAAAGCGTAAACACTTACAGTGTACTCCGAGCCAAAACAGAAAACTAGTTAGAAATCAATGCATGATCCTAACTATGTTAAGCAAATCCTAATGCAACACATGCAAGATGCAATAAGATAGGCTCGGCTACCTAAGATGGCATATGAATGCAACAATTGATACATGTATTTAAATAGGAATGCACGCATGCAAAGCATAAGGTATGCTAATTGAAATATGCCTTAAACGAACCATCAAAAGCTGATACGTAAAAGGGAGAAAGAAATGGGGTTGGAAGACATGCATACACACACGCACACTTATTACAACAATACGCCCTCTCATAGGAGGGTCTGAATGAATTAGCCAAGCTAATCTAAGCCAAGCTAACCAACTAATTTAATCAAGCTAACTAGATTAATTATTACAAACCAATCGAATAACTAGTAAACTACTTACTGATTATTACATCACTTAACTAACTAACTAACAAATTAATTAATTAATTACAAATTCAAAGCTAACTAACAAGTAAAACTTTAAACTATGCTGTCACAACAAGTTGAAGAAGTTGAACATGCATGCCTCGGTTTCTGCCCCGAAAAGCTCTCCAGTTTGCTCTCTTGAGGCTTTATCTGCAGGGTGTCCTTAAGAACTTGTTGCTAAAACTTACCAAACCATAGCTGGGGAGTGCACCAGTGGCCTGCCGGCCATAAAAGGTGGCCTGCCGGCCATAAAAGGTGGCTGCCGGCCATCTGCCGCGAAGAGTGGGCCTCTATCGGCCAATGATGGAAGGGTGCCGACCATCAATATGGCACTGTCGGCCACTGGTGAGCTGTGACACCAAACTGCAATAGAGCACAAAATAGAGGAAATGAAGGGTCTCCCTAGGAACATGTGTGTACTATGCCACCCCATATCACCTCAAAACATTAAGGGAGAGGCATCATTGGATCCAAGACCATCAATCAAGCATACAATGCATGATGGCCAAAGATCCAATCTTGTACACAGTCAATAAATGCAATGCAAACAAGACTCTAAGACCACGACCTTATCATTAGAGATCAAAGGCAATGGAGACAAAGGGGATTGGCTTACTTTCATCACTTTGAGTATGATGCGGGCCAATCCACCTTGTGTTCAACATAACGTCCGGTTGAACACGATGCAATGCAAGCAACATGCTAATCTTGGCATGAAATGCGAGACTCTAACATGCAAACAATGCATGCACAACATGCTAAAAGACTTAAGCATTAAGGCTAGTGAAGGATACAACATTAGAATGATACAACATTAGAACCATGTAATACAATGCTCAATGGACTAAACCAGCCCCAAACAGATCTCATGCATGCCAAAACAGTGGCCAAGATGATCTGAAATGATAGCATGAAAGGCAAGAGAATGCATGCTCATGCATTGGCTTACAAACAAAGCATAAGGTACAACTCTCAAGAGCAATGAAGAAGTGAAGTATATGAGAGTATGACTACACTAAATACACTGAAATTATATGCAATATGGTGCCATATCACACAAACATCACATGCACAACATGTTAAAGGCCCCAAAACTCAAAGTTAGTCAAGGCCCTTTACACTACAACCATATTAAGCAATGCTCAAATGACCTTAACCATTCAAAATAGACCTAAGGTAGGTCAAAGTAGTAGCAAAAACATGCTAGACTCACAGCATTGATGGCAAGAAAAATATGCTCATTTGATGGCTCACAAACAAGGCATAAGGGCACAACTCTTAAATACAATGAAAGAGTGATAAACATGAGAGTATGACAGAAGTTTATGCTCAGAAATTACATATCAAATGATGCCATATCACACAAACATCACAAATATAGCATGCTAAGGGCCTCAAAACTCAAGACTAGTGAAGCCAACTATGCCATAGCTATACAAGGCAAGCCATACATGACCAAGACCACTTGGAATAGAGTTTAAGCATGCTAAAACAATGCCAAAAACATGCTGGAGTGGAGCCGAAATAAGCTAGAATGAGAGGCATATAGCTTGATGCATGTTAAGCCAACAAGTAGGATTGCACACAAGTGTAAGATGCAAGAAACCAATGACCAAACCAACCAAAAATAGAGTCATGGCAAGTTCAAAAAGTCACAAAAATATGCTTGGACTAGGCTTCAAAAAGGGAGAAATACATGCT